TAAAATATAATGTCACCGTTTGACAAATGACAATATTGTTTTGGTAAAATATGTATACCTTTTTGATTATTAAATAGATACAAAATTAGAAAAAGTATTTAATAATGCATAATATACAGTATGTTAATTAATTGGAAATTTGAAAAGTCAGAACTTAGCTTTAATTCGATATATAATTCAGATGTTCTAGTGCAGTTTTGATGTAGCGTGTTCTTCAACTGGTCGACCATGAAATTGTTTTAAAGACCTTAGTAAAAGCTAAAATGTTTTTTTTTTTGTTTTTAAAATTCGAAAATTGCCATTTTGTGGTTATCGGTTTATAATATTAAGAGAAAAAAAAATTTTAAAAACAGTTGAGTTGTGAATGAATACAATAAAATAATACGGAATAATATTGTAAAATTGTATAATTTCCACATACTTTTATAGCTAATGCTAATCCAATAAGTAATAAAGACATGTACCTATGCACTGTCTACCTACTCCTTTAAATTGTACATAATAATTTTTAATTGTTTTTATAATATTGTTCATTTTATTCACCATTAATTTTCCATGTCAATTTTATAGGACCATGATTGTTGTAACGAAATAAACGTATCGCTGACCGCTGGGAATGTATCGCAAATTGTATTAATTATAACTCTTATTTCGTTACAGGGATCACGCCACCATGGGTCTATGCAAATATAAAATTCGACTTGTGTTTAGTATGTTTATGGATATATATATATCAGGAACTGGAACCTTTATGATTTTATCGGTTTGGGTTTAGGTTTCGGTTCTCAAAAACCTAATATTTCAGTTTCGGTTTTTAAAAATATCAAATTTTGGTTTCGGTTTCGGTTAATACCGGTTTTAACCCTTATAATATTTGACTTTTTTTATTTTATTTTTATCAGTTAAGTACTATATAAAAAAAATTAACATATTATAATAACCTATATTTAGTGACAGGTATTTGTAATTAAGTGTAACTATTTCAAAATTTAGGTAAATTATAAAAAATGAATTATTAAAAATAATAAATTAAAATAAATAAATTAAAAAATATTATTAAAAAATAAAAATAAGAATGAATTTTTGACACACTTGGGCAACCCATGTTTCAGTTTGATATAATAATTTATAACTTATACATAAAAATATAAATTTAAACAATATATACCGCGGTAACGAAGAGGGAAGAACTACAGTTCAGTAGTAGGTACTAGGACTAGGTACAGCCGAAGTGTCATGCAGAGCATAGTATAGAGTAAAAAGTTAACGATACAAGCATTAGGTTTAGGTATTTAATATTATCAATGCAGGCATATTAGTTCAAATTGCTATTATTTTCAGAAATTCTACATCAGCTATTGCGAATTGATATCGATTACATGGAAATTAGAATTTGGATTTTTGGTATTTCAGGTATTGTCATATTGAATAATATTACTAAACAAAAAATAAATGAATAATACCTACATACAATTTCAATGAGTAGGTACCTATTTTTTTTTTATTACCAATTGAGTTAGGATTATAGTTATCTAAGTGTGAAAACCAAGCAATGTTACAATATCATATGCAATATGCTGTATTTTTGAAAATATAAGTTGCTTTTCTTACATTCGAAATATAACGGATTTCAAAATTATTTTTTTTTCCTTATTATAAATTAATAACTCTACAAAATGTGTATTTTTGATTTTTTTTTAGACCGTGGTAAGAGGGAGGTTATTAGTCATAATGTTTTAACATATGATTATATAATTGCCATTTATAGCATTAAAAAATTAGTGAAAATCGTGAGTTCATGATTTTAGTTAAAGATTTATTTTAAAATGTATTTCTCATTTGATTTCTTTACCATTTGGCTTGGGCGTCCAATATATAAAAATATATAAAAAGGGCCGCCGGCGATCGCCGGGTAGCTGGTTGGGCCAGACCGACATTGCTGATAAGTAAGATGATCAACGTATAGATACATAATATTATATACGTACGGTGCTTTTAACCATTAGGTCTGTTCTATACATTCACTAAGGAAAACACGTCTCCCGGCTAAAATAGCAACTGTCCTCGTATTTATATTTACTGACCACAATAGTAGTTGACAGAAGGGTCGACCTCGCCCGTAACCGTTTCGGCGCCAAGCATTTGTATTTATTGTTCTTGACAGTTATATTCGTATTGCGTATACCCATATACCTACACGGCGAATATAAAGACCCAACGTTAATATAATATTATTTTGTAAGTCTTTCAGATCGTTCGACCGCCCGTAGGGCAGCTGCAGCTATACAAAATCCCATGCTATAGCATCATATTATGTTATTGTGTTGGGGTCCACAAAACACTTGTGGGGTCTTTTTTTTTCTCAGAAAGGTCGTCACGATAATATTGCGTTACTATACGTCTGCGCAGATGTATATGCGATAATACTGGACGAGGGATGTTTTATTTTTCTTAAAAATTTATTCATCGGTAAACACTTGATTCGTATCCTTGTATAATATATTATATGTTATAAGATTTTACTGCAGTTCATTTGTTCCTTTTAACTTTTCCCGACAAATATTATAATTTATAATATTATATATTCTAATAATAGTGGACACAGCGTATATTATACATACAAACGGCTGACAAAAAAAAAAAATAAAAATATTGTATTATAGTCAAACGTATTTTACCCTTAAAAGACGAAAAACGATTACAGCGTCTGGACGAGGCAATAAATTAAATTGTCTAGGGAAGACAAAAAATAACGACGAAACCAGCTCGGAGACATGAGACATCGACACGAGACGTGGTAGCGACAACTTTCTTACCTACCAATCTTTTGTAATACACGAAATACCTGCCGTGTTCGTATGATCATTATCTTATCGAATCGTAAAATAAATTTCCACTTGGGGTGCTTCGGGGTTCTACCTGCGATACGGACCCTCGTCGAAAATCATTATTTTTAGGCGTGCACCAAACATACACACACACAATATAATATACAAAATGCAATAAAAAAAATACGCAGTTCCCCGCCGGGCAACTGCAGTAGGTGGCGGTATAATAAGACGGGATTATTGTGTTATTAAACCTTATATTATATTATATTTTTTTTTGAAATAGGCCGTAGTTCTGTATCGTTTTCGAGATACAACGATACCGTAATAAATTCTTATGTCAGCGTGGCAGTCGTACGATGCACTTTCAAGCCATATTTTAGCTGTACTAAATGCGTCCCCCCCCAACATATTATCGTAATTAATTATATTCGCTTTATTATATGACTTATATATAGGTATTGCAGTCAAGAAAATAACATTATACTAGTAAGTAGTAGTACACATTTCTTGTAATTTAACGGTTTCGGGGCGTTGTGGATTGATATTAGGTAGGTATATACCTGCAGCTGACGAATCCAATCAAATACTATCTGCTGTCGACGCATTATTGGGGAGAAAACTTCAATGTTATACAGTTTGAGCCGTTTTAGGGATTAATCATCATATAATATGATATGTACTATTATATAATTACATACATTTGTTCGAAAACGCATCGATATAGATTTAATAACTATCGTATGGTTTTCAGTTCAAAAACAAGAAGTCATCAAACGCACATCGAGCCGCAGGTTAAACATATTGTCTATCTTGAAGCATCAAGTTCAGCTTCAGACTTGGAATACTCGAGGGTAAGAAAATTGTTTGTAATATCATATTTCGTGAAATGTACATGGTGCTCAACGCCGCCGAATTTTGTCTATTAATACAGTTTATTATAATTTATATTATAATACCTATAGGTGTATCTATCATATTATATAAAATAAATATTTAAAGACAAATAAGATTATAAAAAAAAATAATTACCTTTCTGTAGTTTCCTCCCAAAAAATACGAACTGCTTGCTACAATCCTTTTATCGTAAATAAACATGTTGATACACACTAGTTGTTGCAGAAGATGACGATCAGATAGTTTATAATTATAATATACGAGTGGCCTAGCTTAAATATTAAAATATTTAGTTGACTACCATGTAGAATATCATGTAATAGTTTATTGTTTTTTTTTCAATAAAAATAATAAAGCACGTAAATAGATGAATGTGTATACGAAGTGGGATTGTAGGAACAAATAATACACATCTATTAAAATGTAGTTAACCGCTCTGATTTATAGTCGTAGGGGTCGAGTGTACCTCACGTAATTGAGAAGTAAGTCACTGCAGTATATATTATGTATATGCTACGAACCATTTTGAATACCTGAAATGTGTACATTACACGGTAAATTTGGTCCTGCCTTGTAAATTCAATTTTGCACCACGAATACAAACAAATAATTTCTTATGCAGTATTTTTTTTTCCTTACAATTATACCTAATTATAATATAATAGTAAATATATCTTTTACAGTAAGTAATTAATTTTACTATTATTATTATTAATTCAGTAGGTCGAATTATAGTTTAGGTCAAAAACATCGCATTTATTATATAATCAATTATTTTAATAGTATAATATAACTATATATAATATTAGTTATTATAAACATAATTGTTGTTAACTTTTGATTCAATACCTACCGACTTACCGTACCTATATATCGTAGAATAGTGTGAATATGTTCATAATATAATTAATAGCCAATAGGTAATAGCTAAAAATTAATCCAAATATTCTAAAAATGTTATTGTGCATTGAAAAATAAAAGTACACTAAAAGGGTAGTTATATTTTAATAACAATACACTGGCCAATGGGGGATTTTTAGGCTTTAAAAAAAAAAATCACAATCATTATTCATTATTCATTATATACATAATATACATCTGGGCCCCATACATTGATTTGTTCGGGGCCCGAGAATTCTAATTGTAGCACTGGTGTGTGTGTTGTGTATTATGTCCCTGAATATATAATATAACCGATTACTTATACTTACACTTATTATGTACCTAATTAATTGATAAATTCATATTATTTGTGTGTAGGCCACATACACCACGATGTCAGCGAACTCAACGACCACTGAAGACGCTGTATTTGAATCTGACGTAGTAAATTCCACTGAAGTTGACCCAATTGATCAGGAGCCCGCTGAAGGTGATCAATCTGAAGGTGAAGCTAGTGAACCAGCTATAGACGAGAACGAGGTGGTGGAAATCGACCAAGACGAGTCGGAAAATGACGATTCTGACCTAGATGAAATAGAGGAGGCAGACTTGGAGAGCTCTGATGATGAGGTTTCTGACTTAGACGAACCCCCAACTTTCGGAGAATTATATGGACAATTATTTAAGGGTGACCCATATAATTCTACAAACAATGACTATACTGAAGAGGAGGCTGACACAGAAGAACTAAAAGAAGAGAAGTTAAAAAAAATCGTAAATTACATAGACAAGTGTAACAGTGACCAGCATTTCATAGTGAAGATGCACACAAAGTCAATATATGACTTAGAGCCACTGCCGGAAGAACCGTCGGCGTTTCAATTGGGACGGTTCACTGACAAACTGGTGTTGCACGTGTGGGTGTTACAGATGCTAGACCCGCAAGACGTGGACCGATGGAGTGGATTATTAGTTCACTTAATTTCCAACAAGCTGGACCCGACGACCAGGAGTTTTTGGAACACATTTGCCTGGAATTACAAGATTTCTGAACATGGCAAAAATGTCACCATGTCTGCGATGTTGGAGTTTTTGCGATACACTTGTCGCGAATACGAGATCCGAGGGCCATCCAGATCCTTTGGTTGTAAAACTTGTATATTTTATAATAATTTAAACCCAAAGGTGGATACTCCAAAGTCAACTCTATGTTGAACCGTTTTTCAAAAAAGAAGTTAGTCACATTTAGAACAATAGGTATTAGGTACTCACAGATTTTTCATGAAATAATAAGTTAACATAATAACCCGGTCTGATAATAGTATTATGTTATTTTAATGAATATAATATGATTTGTATAATAGGTATCTTAAAAGCGTTCGTAATAACAAATTAACATGTAAAAAAAAAATCTAAGGAATCACTGACAATTTTGTAATTATGCAAAATATAACATAATAATGAATAACAATATAAATAGTTACATTTTATATGTTATGTACAACATGTATTGACGTTCGTTTTTATGTCCACTGAGTAGTAATAAATTATAATCAATATTACATTTTTTTGATTATACATCATACTTTATTATACTTGTATTTTATTGCGATGATATAAAATTATTCACGTACGATATTGTTTTTTTTTTAAATTTATTATTTCAATTATAATCATCTTTTTTGAAAAGTATTTTAACTATAATTATAAACACTTATGTATGATGCATACAATAAAATAAATAAATATAATATACAGTGACTGTCTCATATATATTTAAGTTTGTTTCTGTCGATGATGACACATTAGAAAATTAAAAATTATTAGTGACCTCTATTTTATTATTATTATATTATAATCACTTGTAAAAATCTTAGATCCACATAAATTCAAAATTTCAAGTTAAATATTTGTTGCATATTTTCTAAAACAAACTGCATATAATATAATACAACCAATGTTATGCTAAGTTCTTATAATAAGCCAAAATCTTTTAGGTTCAAAGAAGTGACGTTTGGTGAGTACACATACAATAATATTATGTGCATAATATTATTTTGTTGTGTGTTGTGTGTACGATACCTAAGTAACAAACACTGTGTATTCTGTATACGACGTTTATTGAGCATCAATTTTGTTTTTATCGAATGAATAATGATAATGTATATCAAGTTCTAACATTTTGATAAAGGCATTTTAATGTGTTTTCTATTTTTTAATTATGAATTTATTACCTATATAACAATAATATGTTACAACTTACAACACATAATAATTATAATAAAATAACTCATGATAAAAATATGTTTGTACCTATTCATTAATCACTTTCTTACCAATTCAATCCTTCGATAACATAATCGGTCCTTTGATTATTATTGTTTTATTAATTCTCAGTCAAACAGACATCGGGCAGCCATGGTGTACGGGTACGCTGACCACGGCGGGCAGCGATAGGTTGTATTATTTTATAGTGCTTGCGCTGGCAGACCACTTTCTGTTTCACTGAACCTTTAGACTATATTATGATCAATATATATAATATATATGAGTGTGTGTACCTAGCGGACTAATTTAAATAAATTCAGATATTATGTAGGTACATAAAGTAATAGTGAATTTCTATTTTATGATTATTGACTTCCGGCGTCGTACGAAAAACAGATCCATTATGAATATATGTATTATTGTTAATAATAATATGTATAATTATCGGAGAGAGCGCTCTATAAAAAACTATACATATAGAAATAAATTGAGAAAAAATATGAAATTATGTTTCTTTTACATTTTTAGTTTATACAATTATAGAACGATATAAAAATGTATAACCGTTAATATTTTGTTTATTGATATAATTTATTCGTTAAAATAATGTCGAATAAAGATTATTATTTACTAAGGGGGTAATTCATTTTTTTTTTTTTGTATATATAATTTATTGGGGTTTGAGCTACATGTATAATATAACATTTTTTATTTTTATTTTTAACACTGAAAATAAAAAGTTTTAAATCTGATTTTTTTATAATATTTTGAAATATCATTCAAAATTATAGATTTTATCTACATTTTTTTTTAAAAAGTTTTTACTTTTCAAATTAACGAATTTTACTTAAAAAAATGTTGGTATTTTAAGAAATTAGAAAAGTAAATTACAGTTTACATAAATATTTGCACAGTCAAAAGATTTATAAAAAACAGATTTAAAATTAGCTATTTTGAATTTTTCAAAAAAAAATTTAATCAGTTCATAAATGTTTTATTTTCTAATAAGAAAATCATACTATACCTACATGTAGCATACGTGATAATACATTAAAAATATTGATCAGAACAAGAGTAATTTAATTTTTCAGCGGTCTTCCTGTATAGTGTATACTGTATATACTAAAATATTATACAGACGTATTTGGATATTCAATAATAATACAATCATATGGTTATTACTGGAGGGAGATAAACTTATTTAAAAATAAAACATCGTCTGCAATAATTAATCATTCAACTAAAACGGGTAGTTGTGGTGTCCTATATCATTCGTAAGTTGTATTGAGTAACATGCGCTAAAACCTGTTGCGTTTTGCCATCGTACACCCTATAAGTTAATGATGCACAATATATAAAATTAAATTTGGCCTGCACTGTCAACGCATATGGCGATAGGAACCAATGCATAACGTTTACGTTATCGTTTTACCACCGATATTCTTGAGACCTTATTGAGTCACATAATAGATATGGGGAATATACAATAGTAAGTTACTATACGAAAGTAGGTAGCAGGTAAAAAAATTAAAAATTGCATATGTTAATTTCTTCAAATTCTTACATTCGCCATGGTAGGTATAAGTAGTACCAACTTATGGCATTAACTTGTTTGCGGGCTGAATCCAGTTTGTTGCCACCATTTAGTGACCCCCTGTCCTAAATGTTAGCCATAGTTCTTACCTGCAGCGGTTCCCAATCTTTTTGGAATTGCGGCACCCTTTTGGGACTGATGTTTTCTCATGGCACGCGGCACGCCTTTGAAAACTGATGACCTTTCTTTTTTATTTAGATTAAATGTATTTAATTCATTTAAATAAAACCAGAAAAAATAATTGTAACGGATAATATGGAAATATTTTTTTTTTTTATAATAATTTTACCTATGTTATTTTAATTATTACATTTATTAGGAAAGTTGTTTATCATATTTATACTATACACGTGGTGGTTGTAATGCGGTATTTTTCATAATCGCTTTAAGTATTAAGTTATATTTTAATTGACACAATCGTCATCTTTATTTATCCTAATTTATTTTTAAACCGGATATTGTGGTAGCGCAGATAGGGTAGGGTGTGTAAGGCACACACTTTGGAAATCACTAGCCGCTAAGGTGTAGTAGTAAAATTCAGTAATTTCGAAAATAGGTATACGTAATATCGTTGCTCTCTCTCTCTCACACACACAAAATAATTTCACTGACAGTATTTTAGTCGATAAATATTTTGACAAATCCGTATTTTAATCGTCGCCTAAAATATGGTCGGCCGAAATATTTATCTACTTAAATGCTATAGGCTAAAATTTAGCGAGTTCCCGATTTCAAAAAGCTGGCTAAGGAAAATAAATGCAATTTTTCGTATTAAATAATATACTGTAATAGATATATTTTTTTTTTCATACTTTTAATATTGTAATTTTTAATCCAGCGCCACGGTCGTGGCGCGAGCTAAGTAAAAAAAATAAAAGCGGCGGCACGACAGTGTATATTATCTCGAAGCAGGAGTTTCCCATTAAAACCGTGTAAATTTCGGTGTTTTTTGTCAGATGAGATAATTAATTATCTACTGAATCAATTTATACCTAGTAAATTGCAAAACATGAGGAAAATCATGCAGATGATCCTTTTGTAAAAATCATAAAAATCGTACAGTTAGAAATTAAGTTATTAAAGGAAACGTGAAACATTTTTAATGAAAAATTATATTGAAATCTGGAATCACGGCGGCCGCTTCTCGCGTTGTCGTGCCGACCGGCCGCCACTCACGCTCCCCCACTCCCAGTCTCCCCTCCCGGTCTCCCACGGCCTCCCCGGTCTACGGCCACACACTAATACGTGTATTATTTATGGGTACGTCGCATTTCATTATTACTACTTCATGTTAATACTTTACGATTCATTTCGTAGACATTAATTGAGATTTTACAAATTCTGAAGATGTTAATTTGATTTGTCTTTCGCTGTACTGACCATTCTTAGCGTAATATATAATATATAATAATATATAATATAATATAATATATAGACAACTATATATTACCTCTAGCAGTTATTGAGAATAAAGTTACATTAAATTCATTATTTAATGAATTTAGCAAAGTAACAATACTTGAAATTAATTATAGTAATTGTAGGATCACAGGAAACCATTCGAAAGTAATGAACGTAACTAGTACAAGACAATATTTGTGTATACAATTACAATTATGGAATGAATTACAAGAAAAAATGCATAATGTATCATTAATATCTTTGTCAACAACATCTTTAAAAGTTGATGAAAAAACGTATAGAATATGTTCTGCGATTTTTCATCACGGGGAATCATTACATCATGGTCATTAAACAAGTATAATAAAAAAATCAAATCTTAATTGGTTCAGATGTAATGATCTCACTTCTAATAAAGAAAGATGGCCTAGAGGTGGCAAAGACATTTACATGCTAGTCCTCGAGAAGCAAAATTAATAAAAGTGTATTGAGGTATAAATGATAAAAATTGGTGATATCAAAACAAAAACCCTCCGTCTAACTCCGTGTAAAAATTAGCTAAGTAAAAAAAGAAGAAAAAAAATCGCATTGTATAACTAAAACATTTTTCGCTTCATATAGAATTTATAAAACCAGTAATTTCAAAGCACTATAAAGATGTGATATCCTAAATAAATGCTAAGTAAACTGAATTTAAGTATATTTAGTCTGTTTCGATAATTTATTTACTTGGCGAGGAAATATTAGTATTAATATAGGGTATACAGTGTTATTATTGGTTGTAGAGTATTATTTTGATTAGTATAGAAATGTTCACTGTAATATTTTTAATTTATAATGTCTTATTGTCTAATTATTCATCCAGCGCCACGGTTCTTATATTGTAGAGATATAAAGTAAAAAATTTCCTCGCCAAGTAAATAAATTATCGAAACAGACTAAATATACTTAA